CCGTGTCCGACTCAAATTGGACACATATTCGTGGACGACACGCGCACGACACATGTCAGACACGAATTAGGCTCGAACACGGTCAAAGGAGCTTGAACACGGCTCGGATTCGCCGAAGAAATTAAAAAAAAACTAAGTGGGCGTGAGATAAACAAACTCGAACCGAACCCGAACCCAAACCTAAACCCAAATTCAAACAAAAGATTGCAAGCACTAACCTTGTCGTTCTCTCACCCGACGCCACCACATGTCATCGTTGAAGCCCCGTCGAAGATCCGAAGTTCTGCTCCTCGTCGAAGCACCGTCGAAGCATTTTGGTCCTCGTCGAAGCTTCTCGGAGCCTCTTGTGGTCTCGTCGACTGTCGAAGCCCTCGTCGAAGCCTTTCGGAGCTGTCAAGGTATCGTCGAAGTCCCCTCTGTGGAAGCCTGTAGTCGTCGTCGTCGTCGTCGAAGTCCTCATCGATCTCGTCGAAGCCTGTCGTCGTCGATCTCTGAGCTGCCCCGATCTTCGATCTCGATCTCGATCTCCTACCTCGTCTTCGACTTCCCATGAGTCTTACGAACAACGACAAGCTTCCTCGATCTTTGACCTAAGAAGGTATACAGTAAACTCATTCACTGAACTTTTTTTTGGTGAGTTTTCACTGAATTTTAAGTTAAATAGTTAATTAACAAGTACCAACTGTAAACTTAAGTTTGAGTTGAGAATGAGTTTTTCACTATGGAGATGAACTTAAACTTAAGTTTATCCCTTTATCATGATTTGATCTTAAATATATGAATGGTTTATTTGTTCACTTGTTAATTCATTATATAAGGTTCTAGACTATTCATGTTTCACTGTCTTTTTGCTGAGTCTTTTTGCTGATATTTTGGAACCTAAACTTCTAGATATGAGATTTTATATGCCTTACTATTTAATATATATGCATTTTTGATTGACTATTATAGTTTGGATAGCATATGTGTTGGTATTTTCGTATTTATGCATCTTTGATTGAGTATATATTTATATTTATCTTCAAGTATCGCAATTAAAAAAATAAAAAAGATATGGGATATTATACATTTTTTATACATTCTATTGATTATACAACAAATAGAAATTTGTTATGTGAGACTTGAAATTCAAATGGATTAGTTCATAGTTTTTGGGTGATGAAATTGTCATGTTTGTCTTTGCTAGATAGCTCATATTATTATCATAAATCTGATGGAGAAAATTACTCTTTATACTAAATCGAGATTTTCGTATTACGTTCCATATATGTTATGGTTTAATATTTAATTACTATTTGTTACTTGTTGTTTATAGCAATGGAAGCAGAAGATAGTTCTGGTGCACAGTCTGTTCAAGATGATCACACTTAGGGCTGAGCATGGTTCGATCCAAACCGAAAAAATCGATCGAACCGACCCGAACCGACCTAAAAAAATCGGTTTTATGAGTAAGGCGGTTAGAGTCGGTTTGAAAACTTTTTAACCCGAACTGACCCGAACCGACCGAATATAGTGTAATACTACACATTTTGATCTTAAACCCTACTCGACTTGTCCCCAAAGAGTCAAAGACTCAAACCCTAAACTTATTTTCTGAATCATTACAGGTTGAAAACAATATCATTATATCAGTGTTTAATGCTTCATAATCTCCTACTTTGTTGATATTTTTTTTTCTTTAACACGGTTTGTTGTTTGATAAGAACAATGTTGTAAAAAGCGGCAAAAAGCGCTGCTATTGCGCCGCGAATAGCGGAAGCGGCAGGTCAGCGCAACGCTTAGGGCATTTGCGGTGAGTTTAAGCAATAAAAACTGCTTTTCGTTCGAAATTGCGCGTAATAGCGCGTTTTAGCGCTTAAAAGGCGCTAATCCCGCTATTACGAATTGCCCCCGAACCCGACCCGAACCCGACTTACCCGCTAAACTTAAACCTCTGACTTCAGTTTCCCGAACCCAATTTGTGCCCTAGCCGCCTCTTACGTACTCCTGAGTCCCAACGACGACGACTTGCCCTAGATATGAGATTTTATATGCCTTACTATTTAATATATATGCATTTTTGATTGACTATTATAGTTTGGATAGCATATGTGTTGGTATTTTCGTATTTATGCATCTTTGATTGAGTATATATTTATATTTATCTTCAAGTATCGCAATTAAAAAAATAAAAAAGATATGGGATATTATACATTTTTTATACATTCTATTGATTATACAACAAATAGAAATTTGTTATGTGAGACTTGAAATTCAAATGGATTAGTTCATAGTTTTTGGGTGATGAAATTGTCATGTTTGTCTTTGCTAGATAGCTCATATTATTATCATAAATCTGATGGAGAAAATTACTCTTTATACTAAATCGAGATTTTCGTATTACGTTCCATATATGTTATGGTTTAATATTTAATTACTATTTGTTACTTGTTGTTTATAGCAATGGAAGCAGAAGATAGTTCTGGTGCACAGTCTGTTCAAGATGATCACACTTAGGGCTGAGCATGGTTCGATCCAAACCGAAAAAATCGATCGAACCGACCCGAACCGACCTAAAAAAATCGGTTTTATGAGTAAGGCGGTTAGAGTCGGTTTGAAAACTTTTTAACCCGAACTGACCCGAACCGACCGAATATAGTGTAATACTACACATTTTGATCTTAAACCCTACTCGACTTGTCCCCAAAGAGTCAAAGACTCAAACCCTAAACTTATTTTCTGAATCATTACAGGTTGAAAACAATATCATTATATCAGTGTTTAATGCTTCATAATCTCCTACTTTGTTGATATTTTTTTTTCTTTAACACGGTTTGTTGTTTGATAAGAACAATGTTGTAAAAAGCGGCAAAAAGCGCTGCTATTGCGCCGCGAATAGCGGAAGCGGCAGGTCAGCGCAACGCTTAGGGCATTTGCGGTGAGTTTAAGCAATAAAAACTGCTTTTCGTTCGAAATTGCGCGTAATAGCGCGTTTTAGCGCTTAAAAGGCGCTAATCCCGCTATTACGAATTGCCCCCGAACCCGACCCGAACCCGACTTACCCGCTAAACTTAAACCTCTGACTTCAGTTTCCCGAACCCAATTTGTGCCCTAGCCGCCTCTTACGTACTCCTGAGTCCCAACGACGACGACTTGCCGTCGGTNNNNCGCCTCCAGCACCAGCATCAACGCCTCCTTCCAGCCGAGGCTTCCACCAGCACCAGCGACCCTCGTCGTCAGAGCTCCTTTCGTCGTCGACCGCCACCAACCTGCCTAGCCGCCCTACCCTACTCCAGATCCCGAGATCCCGCCGCCCTCCGCCAGTTCGTCTCATCCCGCCCGTCGTCAGAGCTCCATTAGGAGATTTAAGTTAGAAAATATAATTAAGGGAGAGAGTTAATTAGTTTGAATTTTTTCCCCTGTCACCCTCCTCTAGTTAGTAATATATACTCGCTCACCATACTACTATAGTCCCCTTTTGACTGCAAAATTAGTCAGTTAACAAATAATCAGGTATGAAACTTTTGATCTTCTTTATTATTGATTATTGTTTTTTTTCTGTTATGTGTTTGTTTTTATTTTTCATATTTTGTCCACCTAAAATTATTATGAAAATTTACAATTTTCTATGTTTAATCGTTCAAATTTTATTGTCTTTATGGTCATCTTTGAGTTGAATACTAAATCCTCCGCCTCCAACACTGATTTTAGTACATTTTAGTAATTTACGTGAAATAGTACGTGAAGAGAACCGGAAGGCAGGAGGTCTTGAAGTTCTCTTAATTAAATGGTTGTAGAATTCACGTACTATTTCACATAAAGAAAAACAAGCAGTTGGAGGATATTACTAACTTACTAATCATGTTTTTTTATTGTTGAGTATTTTCATATTAGAGACTTAAAAGTTGAAGAAATGGGACAAATAACGGTCTTTTGGATAAACATGTACGTTTTTTCATTCTTTAATCTTTATAATTATAGTATTTTGTTAATATTATGTAATTATTACACATATATTTCATGTTTAGGCATCAAGTATGCATTTGTAGAATTTTTAGATTTATTATGAATTTTCTTATTATTTAGGATATTTATATATATTTAAATCTGACCGCTATTTGACTGTGCGCTATTTGTCATGATTTCTCTGTAATAGCCCGATATAGCCTTAGCGGTACCTCGCTGCGACGCGACGCATTCCGCTATCAACAACCTTGGATAAGAAGTTTGATGAAGTTAGAACCGAACAAACCGAACCAAACCGCACCGAACCGACTTGCAACAGTTCGGTTTGGTTTTGAATTATAGACGGTTCGGTTCGGTTGTTCAAATTTTGGTAAAAACCGAACCGAACCGACCGTTGCACACCCCTAATCACACTCCTTTGTGGAAGTATGTCACGAAGTTGGAGAAGATAGGTGAAGGAGAGGGGAATTGGTAGTGGATGTGTAGTTACTGTCATGAAGTATTTACATCCTCCTACTCAAGGGTCAAAACATATCTAATGTGGATGAGTGGGTAAAAAATTAAAATGTGCAAAGGTGTTAAGCCGCATAATATGAGAGACATGCAAACTGATATGGATCAAACAGCAGCAAGGCTGAGGGCTTCTATGCCTAGGATAGTGACGCTGTCAGGTTCTTCAACTTCAAGTGTAGCATCAGTAACTCAAAGCATGCCTTCTCGTCCAAGTGAGCCAAAGAGGAGGGGAGCCAATACAGGGACAAGAGATGAATTGGATTCAATCATTGCAATGATGTTCTATACCAGTGGGCTGTCATTTAATTTGACAAGAAATCCATATTTCTCCAGAGCTTTCACATATGTCGCAAGCAATCCAATTGTCGAGGACCACTCTTTTGCAACGTGAGAAAGCTCACGTAGAGAGGTTGTTGGAGTCCATCAGGGACACATGGAAGCAGAAGGGAGTCTCTATTTGTAGTGATGGCTGGGCAGATGCACAGAGGAGGCCACTGATAAATTTCATTGCGGTCTTAAAA